ATCAAGAATTTTTTTCCTCAGGTGTTTTTCAGTTATAGCCAGATATATGGTTTAATGAGCCTGTTCTCTGAAGTCACTCTATCTTGGTAGGACAGCAAAGCCAACATTTAATAGCTCTGACGCTGAATAAGTTACTTAAACTGTCCATTCCCTTTAACCCATTTTTTAAAATGAGCCTATAAGATAGCACCCATGGTATAATGTTCTCATGTGGAGGAAATATGTTAATAAAGAAAAACATTTAGAAAAGTGGCAGGCTTACCATAATTAAACAAAATGATAGTTTTTATTATATCATGCCCAAGGGTCAATGTATGCTCACTTCCATACTTTGCAATCAAATGTAATTTCTCATCATATTCTGCAGTCCATTAATTATTATTAATTTTTAGAAATATTAAACTAATTTAAATAAACCTTTATGAACTCATTCCTGCCAGGTATCACCTTTATTTCTCCACAGTTTGAAGCAGTTGCACAGAATGGACAGAAGGAATAACACACATGTGTCTGACTTCATCCTTATGGGGCTGACAGAATCTGAAGAGATCCAGTTGGTCCTCTTTATCATATTTCTCATCATATACCTGGTCAGTGTCCTGGGAAACACAGGGATGATACTGATCATCCACCTGGATCTCCAGCTTCACTCCCCCATGTATTTTTTTCTCAGGCACCTGTCGTTTCTTGACATTAGTTACTCAACAGTCATCACACCTAAAACCTTACAGAACTTACTGACCTCCACGAAGCACATTTCCTACATAAGCTGCTTCACCCAAATGTACTTTTTTGTCTTCTTGGGTGTTGCTGAATGTTTTCTTCTCTCCTCAATGGCCTATGATCGCTATGTAGCTATCTGCAATCCTCTGCACTACCCTGTAGTTATGTCCAAAAGATTCTGCTGCTCCCTCATCTTTGGGTCCTATTTCATTGGCTTTACAAACTCTCTGATCAATGTGCTTTTCATGAGCAGACTGGATTTCTGTGACTCCAATGTAATCCATCACTTTTTCTGTGACACTTCCCCAATCCTAGACCTGTCCTGCACTGACACACGTGGTGTGGAAATCATGATATTCATTTGTGCTGGCTCTACTCTAATGGTTTCTCTTATCACAATATCTGTGTCTTACCTGTCCATTCTGGCGACTGTACTGAAAATTACTTCCCCTTCAGGAAAGCGAAAAGCCTTCTCTACATGTGCCTCCCATCTCCTGGGAGTCACCATCTTTTATGGCACTATGATTTTTACATATTTAAAACCACGCAAGTCCTATACCTTGGGCAAAGATCAAGTGGCTTCTGTGTTTTATACTATTGTGATTCCCATGCTGAATCCACTCATTTACAGCCTTAGGAATAAAGAAGTGAAAAATGCTCTCATCAGACTCATGCAGAAGAGACAGGACTTCAGGCAATTAAAGTAACATCATTTCTAAACAGTTAACTTTTCTCTCCTTTCCTGTGGAGTATTTTCTTGTTCTCTCCAAAAAGCAATGAAGTCCTTTCATTTGTTTGTATTTCTGTTGAACCATTCTTTACTTAAACAAATATAATATTGGACATTTCCAAAAATATGTCCTTTGAAATTCATATTATAATTACAAGCCATAAAATATGTGTTAAAAACATGGCCCATTGTTTTGAAGGGCAACTTATCCACCAAATGAGAAAATATGAATGTCCTATTTGAAAATACAGCACAGAAATTACCATGCATTCTCCAATGACAGACAATTTTGTTATGAAACAGAGCTCAGTGTTGGCACACTGGTAATAGTTTCAGAAATCATGTCATGTATTATATAGAGAAGAAAAGTAGCAGAGTAATTAGGAGCACTGTCTTTGGAGCCAAATATTTGAAGATTTATATTCTATATCTACTCCTCTTTCAGGTGTGTAAGACTTAGTAAATCACTGACTTCAATGTTTCCATTTCCACAACTACACAAGATAATTAATATATCCAGGTCCATACAGTTATAATAAATATTGAATCATTTAAGGCAGTACTAACAAATGCTGACCATTATCATTAGAATACTTCTATTCCTGCAATATTTTTAATACACAATGGCTTTACCTTAAAGATTATTCACTTGTGTTTTATAAATTACTTTTGGTTAATTTAATTGATGAGCACACAAACAACTAAGGGAAAACTCAGAACAACTACAAATACACATGGACCAAACCAAGTAGAAATGGGATCAGGGGAGGGAATTTGGGATGGCTGGGCTGGGGCAGAGTGGGAGAGTAGTGTGCGGAAAATGGAGACAATTGTACTTGAACAACAATAAAAAAAAGCATTTTACAATTTTGAAATTAGATCCATATATGTTAACATTGAAGAAGATTTGGATAACTTTGAAAAAATAAGGAAATGGAAATACCTTAGCAATTGTTAACAGTTTGGTATGTGTTCTTCTACACCACTGGTTATGAAAGTAGGTATGTGCATGTATTACATATATAAGCAAGATTTCTGTCATTTCTACTGACCTTTTGCAGTTTTCTGTACATATTTACATGTTTAACATTTGTCATTCAATTCAGAGATGAATGTGTGTTGGGTATATGGTCAAAAAAATCAAGACTTTTATGAAAGAAAGCTTTGGTCCTGAAATTTTGTAAATTCATCAATTTAAAAATCTTTGTGCAGTGATATATCTTTAGTGGCCACTTGCTAAAAATTTTAAATCTTTACCTTTTTGTGCTGTAGCAATAAATCTCAGTAAACTTCCTTTTGATATTCTGTGTATGTTAAAATTTATTGCCTTTTTCTCAATATTTATAGGCTTCTTGTGGTCATTAAAAATAAGTTCTTAAACTAAATTTGTGACTCATTTGTTTTGTATTCTACAAGACATGTTTCAAATTTAAGAATTGAAAAATTTTGTGACAGACTAGAACTTAGGTAGAATGCTAAAATGTCCTTTATATTCCATTTTTTCCTGTATGTAATCTGGAATTTTTTTTTATCTTTCTGTCATTTCAGGGTTATTTAAAAACATATTATTTAATTTTCCACATATGTGTTTTTGCAAACGACTTTATTGAAGTATACTTGACATTTAAAATCTGTACATACTTGATGTATGCAATTTGTGAAATTTTTCCAAAAGTATACACCAATATATATTAGATTGTCAATTTTTTACCCAAAAGGTCATAGCATGGTCTTATCAACAGGGCCCTTATCTTTGCATCTTGATGGGCAAAAAGTGGGATCACTGGGTCAAAGACAATTCCATTTTTAAATTTTTGAGGAAACTCCATACTGTTTTCCATAGCACTGCATAGTCTCCATTCCCACCAACACTGCACAAGGGTTCTCTTTCTTTTACATTGTCACCAACACTTGTTTGGTGATTTATTGATGGTGGCCATTCTGACAGGTGAGGTGACATCTCATCATTATGGTTTGAATTTGTATCTCTCTGATGATTAGTGACACTGAATATTCCTTCAAATATCTTTTGGCCATCTGTATGTCCTCTTTTGGAGAAGTGTGTATTCAGTCGTTCACTTATGTCTTAATTGGGTTGACTTTCTGGTGCTGAGTTGTGTAAGTTTTCCATACTCCTAGAGATTAACCCCTTGTGAGATGTATCATTGGTAAATATGTTATTCCATACAATGGGTACCCTTTTCATTTTGTTCATGGTTTCTTTTGCTGTACAGAAGCAGTTATTTAAATAATGTGCATCAGTATTTTTAGAACTGACTTTAATCTTTTTTATTTTACTAATTCAAAAGAGTGAGCTAAGTGTTTATCAGTAGAGGAATGGATAAAGTACCTAATGCAATTTACGGTATGGAATACTACTTGTCCATAAAAAAAGAAAATCTTACCTTTGCTACAGCATGGATGGACCTGTAGAACGTTATGCTAAGTGAAAGAAGCCAGTCAAAGAAAGACAAATACCATATGATTTCACTCAACTGAACTAACAAGCAAAATAGACACAGATTCATGGAGAGGAAGTCGACCACTCTTTTGGATGTGGGGGTTGTAGGCATTTAGCCAAAAACACGAAGGACCCGTGGACAAGAACAATATTGTGGTGACTACCTGGGAGGGGGTGGGTAGAATGGAAGAGGGTATAAGGAGGATAAATAGTAATGGAAAAAAACAATAAATAATAACACTTAAAAAGTAGATCTTTATCTACACCAAAAATTATCTTCTGAATTACTGGAGTATTAACAGACTTCCTTAAAAAAGTTCCTTTTAATAGATGTTTTAAAAATCCTCAACAAAGAGTACGTTTGTTGGTTTTGGAAAGAGAGGAAAGGAAAGACAGAACAAGACAGAGAAACATCAATGTAGCATAGAAACATCAGTTAGATGCCTCTTATATGTGTCCCTACTGGGGATCAAATGAGCAACCAATTTGTCTACCCTCACAAGGAATTGAATCCAAAACATTTTGTTATATGGAATTACACTCCAAAGAACTGAGATGCCCCTCCAGGGCAATCAGAGGCACTTTTATATCTGCAAGAAGAATGATTTCATTTTCATGAAGTGATCCAATATTCACAAAAATATTCTAAACTTATTTTCAGTGTATATCTCTTTGTCTATTTATATAGCTACCTATCTATTATCTATCTATCTATCATCTATCTATTTATAGAGGGCATGGGAGGGAGATAGAGGAGAGAAACATCAGTGTGTGATTGCCTCTTGTACACCCCCACCTGGGAACCTGGCCTGCAACTCATGTGCCCTAAACTGGGAATTGAACCAGCAACTGTGTGGTTCGCAGGCCAGCACTCAATCCCCTGAGCCACACCAGCCAGGGTACAGTATAGGGATGTTTTCAAATTATTCCTTTGTTTCTACATCATGGAAAAATACTTCCCAACATAAAACTGTAGCTTTCTTTTCATATATTTTAAATTCATGTACAAGAAAACAGTTGATTATATATAAAAACTTTATAACCCACCCACCTCTGCAGCCCTAGTAGTGTGAAGAGGAGGCAAGAATGACCCCTGGACTCACCAAAGCCCACCATCTGCTGATTCCCGACTTCCAGCCTGAATGTTCCACAGCCCTCACCATCTTGCCTAAGAGAAAGGCTGAGGGGCATTTTCAAGGAGATAAAGCCAAGGTGAAGGATGAACCACAGAGAAGATCCACCAGGTTATTGGCGAAACCTGTTCCTCCAAAGCAAGAGCCCAAGCCTAAAAAGGCCCCTGCAAAGAGGGAGAGAACATACCCACAGAGAAAATGGGGAAAGCCCGATGCTGGCAAGGATGGGAATAACCCTGCAGAGAATGAAGATGCCAAAACAGACCAGGCACAGAAAGCTGAAGGTGGTGGAGAGCCCAAGGGAAGTGTGTGCATGTTTGATAACTTTGTATTTCTGGTAACTGTACAGTTTGAAATACTGTTTGTTACCAAGTTTTATAAAAATGCAGAATTTTGTCTTACTTTTTTAAGCTATATTGTTAGCACTCAGAACACCATTATTGTTTCTGAATGAAGGGCATGTAATATTAATAATAGGAAGTCTGCAGAACTGGACTGACATAGGGAAAATTCCTGCCTTTCCTGTCTAGTTTTGAGAGACTTCCTCTTGGTTCCTGGGAGGAGGGATCCCTTGATATTGACACACATTATCTACCTTGGCACAGAAACCTTGTGGTATGGTAAATGGAAATTCATTTTTATGTCCTTTTCTCCCTCTCCACTTTAAGCATGTACTTGATTCCCTAAATCCCAAAGACCTGTTGGGACCATAACCCCCAAAACTTGGTTACCAGTATGTTTATCAATCTGGACTTTCCAGTGTCACCATGGAGATGGCGTCCCTCAAAAGAGCAGCAGCTCTCTTTTTACATTGTGGACCTACAGACTGATAATTCTGCCATTTTCATTGCATTTCCTGGAAGTCAGGGTCAGTAGGTGAAAAGCTGTTGAACAACATGCTAATGTGAAATGTCAACCCCCACTCGAAACTCTCCCACTTCAGAGCAGCAGATGAAGAGCCCACTGGGTTTTGTAGTGGCTTTCTGATTTTGGCAGTCCACTGCAGAGGGGAGTTTGAGAGTTATTGTATACTATCAACAATTGTCTGCCCATGTCCTGCCTGAAATACCATGATTGTTTATGAAAAGTATCTTTAGCCCTGGCTGGCGTAGCTCAGTGGAGTGAGCATAGCCTGTGAACCAAAGTGTTGCAGGCTCAATTCCCAGTTAGGGTACATGCCTGGGTTGCAGGCCATGACCCCCAGCAACCGCACATTAATGCTTCTCTCCCTCCATCTTTCTCCCTTCCTTCCCTCTCTAAAATAAATAAATATATAAATAAACCATTTAAAACAAAAAGTATCTTTAATAAACCTAGATACAGTTTGAATAAAACCAAAACACTTGATTATATGCAGAGGACAATACAACAGTTAAGTTGTAGAAGTACTGCTATGTAGAAGAGTGGGGTGATTGCCAAACCAAAATGGGGAGCCAACACCATATTTTCCTTGTGATGCTTTAAAACACTTGTCACCTGATGACCCATTAGAGAGAAGCTGGTGATGTGTCACAAGTACATGCACAAGACAAGACTTTGTGGGTTTATCAAAGGCTGATGTAACATTGGTCATAATGTGTCATTGGAATCTTGGTCAAAAACTATGTGCTGGAGGCTAAACATACAGTGTAGTAGTAATTATGCAAAACTGTAGATTCATACATGTGCATTAATAAAGGAAAAAATAATTGGGGGAAATTGCTCAAAATGTCCCAACATTTCACACCTGTTCTCATTTTGTTCTTTGAATTTTTTGCATTCAAATTATTATCTAATGACAGTGATAGTGTGATAGTATCACACATGTGAACATAAAAAATGTTTCATTGTGAAAAATGAATTATTCCATCCCTGATGGTTTCAGTGAATGAGCAACTGCAGATGTCTCTATCAATGGCTTCTCCACCAACCCAGTTAAAAACTTAAAGGATCACAAAAGAGGTTGAAACCAGGCTCTTCACTGTGTGCCATCTAAGGAAAAAGGCAACTATTTCCTCAAAACATGACATAGTTGCATTTAGTCCCTGAGCTTTTGTCCTTGGAAACATGCCAGAAAAGCTTCCTTAGAGACTGGTCTCCAGGGAAGAGCAATGTTGCCTTGTCCTCAATCCTCAGGTATTATGAGGTGCCCTGGAAGACAGACCAGACATACTCTGCTCCACTTGTGCTCATATTAGCTGCCTGAATTCCCTTTCAGACACAACTTCCTGCAGATTTTCTGTGTGACCAGCGCCTTCACAAAATTCTAAGTGGAGTGTTTCTCTTTTTCAACTCACAATAAAGCAAGATGAGTGGCCAAAAATTTATAAATAATTTAACTCAAAGGAAAGGGTATATTACAGAAAGTTTTGACTCGAATAGTTTTCATGTTTTATTTGTGAGAAAAGGTTGACATATTTCTTGCCTGATAAAATTGGAAGAAGGTTTTTTTTTTTTCTCCCCTGACTTTGGCTCTTGGTAAGTATTACTTTCAAAATTTAAGAGTTTTAGTTAGGATGAAAGAGAAAGATGGCATTTTACAAAATTTATACATAAACATATCACTCAGACCTTACCCTAAGAAATGTCAGGCTTTGTGAAACCAGAACTATGGAGTTGATGGAATTATGGTCTAAAAGCAATGTAGATGGTTTTGAAACATAATTTTTGAAACAAATCAGATTTCAAATGCTGAACGTAGAAAAATACATCTTCTGCAAATTAATACTAATGTGTAAGATAGTAAATCATGCATTAAAACTGTTTTTAAAATTGTTTATTATATAATATATCAAGAATTGTTTCCTCAGGTTTTTTCAGTTATAGCCAGATATATGGTTTAATGAGCCTGTTCTCTGAAGTCACTCTATCTTGGTAGGACAGCAAAGCCACCATTTAATAGCTCTGACGCTGAATAAGTTACTTAAATTGTCTATGCCCTTTAACCCATTTTTTAAAATGAGCCTATAAGATAGCACTCATGGTATAATGTTCTCATGTGGAGGGAATATGTTAATAAAGAAAAACATTTAGAACAGTGGCAGGCTTACCATAATTAAACAAAATGATAGTTTTTATTATATCATGCCCAAGGGTCAATGTATGCTCACTTCCATACTTTGCTATCAAATGTAATTTCTCATCATATTCTGCAATCCATTAATTACTATTAATTTTTAGAAATATTAAGCTAATTTAAATAAACCTTTATGAACTCATTCCTGCCAGGTATCACCTTTATTTCTCCACAGTTTGAAGCAGTTGCACAGAATGGACAGAAGGAATAACACACATGTGTCTGACTTCATCCTTATGGGGCTGACAGAATCTGAAGAGATCCAGTTGATCCTCTTTATCATATTTCTCATCATATACCTGGTCAGTGTGCTGGGAAACACAGGAATGATACTGATCATCCACCTGGATCTCAATCTTCACTCCCCCATGTATTTTTTTCTCAGGCACCTGTCGTTTCTTGACATTAGTTACTCAACAGTCATCACACCTAAAACCTTACAGAACTTACTGACCTCCACAAAGCACATTTCCTACATAAGCTGCTTCACCCAAATGTACTTTTTTGTCTTCTTGGGTGTTGCTGAATGTTTTCTTCTCTCCTCAATGGCCTATGATCGCTATGTAGCTATCTGCAATCCTCTGCACTACCCTGTAGTTATGTCCAAAAGATTCTGCTGCTCCCTCATCTTTGGGTCCTATTTCATTGGCTTTACAAACTCTCTGATCAATGTGCTTTTCATGAGCAGACTGGATTTCTGTGACTCCAATGTAATCCATCACTTTTTCTGTGACACTTCCCCAATCCTAGACCTGTCCTGCACTGACACACGTGGTGTGGAAATCATGATATTCATTTGTGCTGGCTCTGCTCTAATAGTTTCTCTTATCACAATATCTGTGTCTTACCTCTTCATTCTGGCTACTGTACTGAAAATTACTTCCACTTCAGGAAAGCGAAAAGCCTTCTCTACATGTTCCTCCCATCTTCTGGGTGTCACCATCTTTTATGGCACCACGATTTTTACATATTTAAAACCACGCAAATCCTATACCTTGGGCAAAGATCAAGTGGCTTCTGTGTTTTATACTATTGTGATTCCCATGCTGAATCCACTCATTTACAGCCTTAGGAATAAAGAAGTGAAAAATGCTCTCAAAAGACTCATGCAGAAGAGACAGGACTCCAGGCAATTAAAGTAACATCATTTCTAAATAGTTAACTTTTCTTTCCTGTGGAGTATTTTCTTGTTCTCTCCAAAAAGCAATGAAGTCTTTTCATTTGTTTGTATTTCTGTTGAAA